CGTACTTATTTCTTGAACTACGTAATAATCCGATTCATGCAGTGTCGTGATACGTAGGCAATCCTCATCGGATCCGGTCATGATTTTTGTAAATAACTCAAATAAAAGAGGGATGTGGAAGGAAAGAACCAAAAGAAACCCAAAAAGAAAGAAAAAGACAGCCTGTGACGACCCAAAGGGTCATCACCCGTTTTTAATTGAATTTTATGACTCCGAGGCCTTCAAAACCTCATTTAGAGTCACCTCGATTTGCGTATGCAGTCCGGGCGCGTAGCTGGAAAGCCTAAATGTGAAAATTTGTGAAAAATGATAAGGTTTACTATAAAATGAATTAATTTGACTTCGGTCAACGTTTTGGATAAACGGACCCGGACCCGTGATTTGATAGTACCGGAGGGTCCGTAGGAAAATATGGGACTTGGGCGTATGCCCGGAATCGAATTCCGAGGTCCCAAGCCTGAGAAACGAATTTTTTTGTAAAATTATTTTCTGAAATTGTTTAAGGAAGTTTGAAATGAAAGATGATTAGAACGTGTTGGTGTCGGGCCCGTATTTTGGTTCCGGCGCCCGGTACAGGTCTTATATATGGTTTAAGTCATTACTGTGAAATTTGGTTGAAAACGGACGACGTTTGACGTGATTCGGACCTAAATTGGAAAATTTGATATTTTATGAAGTTTGAAAGAATTCTTGGATTTTGAAGTTTAATTCGATGTTTATGATGTTATTTTGGCGATTTGATCGCACGAACAAGTCCGTAGGATATTTTTGAGGTTGTGTGTATATTTGGTTTGGAGCCCCGAGGGCTCGGGTGAGTTTTGGATAGGCCACGGGGTGAAATTTTGGACTTAAGGAATTGCAGGCCTGCAGGCTTCGCATTTCCCAAACTTTCTTCGCAATTCCCAGGTCCGCATTTCCCAAACATTTTTCGCAATTACCAGGCTTGTTCGCATTTTCCAAACTTTCTTCGCATTTCCCAAACATTTTTTAAAATTACCAGGCTTGTTCGCATTTCCCAAACTTTCTTCGCAATTCCAAGTTCGCATTTCCCAAAAATTTTTCGCAATTCCCAGGCTTGTTCGCATTTTCCAAACTTTTTTCGCAATTCCCAGGTTCGCATTTCCCAAACTTTTTTTGCAATTCCCAAGCCAGCAGAGGTTTGTTAGCAATTGTGAACCCCTGTTCACAATTCCCACATCTGAGACCTGCAATTTTATACTTAGCCGATTTTAAACCCCATTTTTCATATTTTCTCAAACCCAAACACACTTAGGCGATTTTTCAAGAATCCTTTCTTCTCCAAATCAATTGTAAGTCATTTTTAACCAACTTTCTTCAATTCTTATCATCTTTTAACATGATTTCAACTTAAAATCAATGATTTTCATGGGGGAAATTGGGTGTTTTGGGTAGAACCTAGGTTTTTCAAAAATTGGGGATTCGGACCTCAATTTGAGGTCCGATTTCAAAACAAATTATATATTTGAGTTCGTGGGGGAATGGGTAATCGGGTTTTGGTTCGAACTTCGGGTTTTGACCATGTGGGCCCGGGGGCAATTTTTGACCTTTTTGGCAAAACATTGGGAAATTTATTTTCATGCATTCAAATTGATTCAATTAGCGTTTATTGATGTAATTAAGTAATTTGTGACTAGATACGAGCGAATTGGTGGTGGAATCAAGGGGTAAAGCTATAATTGAATCGTGAATTGTGTTCATGGCATCGAGGTAAGTGTTTGGTCTAACCTTAGCTTGAGGGATTAGGAGTGTGTCCTATTTGCTATTTGTTTTCTTGTTGAGTATGATGTATAGGCATGGTGACGAGTATCTATACGTTGGTGTCGAGGATGACCGCGGGTCTTATATTGTGATTTTTATGACCTCGTTGTATTATTCATGCCTTGGTGAAAATTTCTAATTGTTGTGCAAAGTTGTGAAAAGAAATGTGGCCTATGAACGTTTTGGAGCGTTGGCTCCAGTTGTATAAAGAATTGTGAAAGTATAAGTGATAATTGAAACTCTAGAGCAGTGGCTCGAGTTGTGAAGTGAATTGTGAAGTAAAAGTGCGAAAGAGAAGAGATCATTATGTTGCCCCCTTGCCGGGATATTGTTGAGTTGTGGTTCCCTTGCATTGTGTTCTAAATTGATATTACGGATACTTAGGTTGATGATTCTTTGTGATAGGTAAGGATTATGGTTATAGCTGAGGTAGTTAGATGTTGGAACAAGTTTGGTTATGGTCGAGGTAGTTAGGTGTTGTAACAAGTTTAGTTATAGCTGAAGTAGTTAGGTGTTGGAACAAGTTTGGGTATAGCTGAGTAGGAGTTGAGTTAGGATTGGTTATAGCTGATTCTCCCTTGCCGGGATGTTTGTCTTGATATTGTTGTTCCCTTATCGGGAGTTATTATGTTGCTTTTGTTCCCTTTCCGAGATTTCTCGTGAATTTTGAGTTGGCTTGTAAATGGGAGCAGGTGGTACGCCTACCACGAGATATAATGAAATGGGAGCGGGTGGTACGCCTACCACGAGATATAATGAAAAGAGAGCGGGTGGTATGCCTACCACGAGATATAATGAAATAGGATCGGGTGGTATGCCTACCACGAGATATAATGAAATGGGATCGGGTGGTACGCCTACCACAAGATATGAGAAATGGGATCGGGTTGCACGCCTGCAACGAGTTGTGAACCGAGAGTGAAATCTGCCTTTGTTTTCCTTATCCTTGTTAGAAGTTGAATTTTGGTTTCCTGATAATACTCTTGAGATTCTGTTTTATCTGTTATTCCCCGAAGCATGTTTCCCTCTCCCATCTTTATTTGTTTATGTCTGCTTTACTTTCCGCTGTATATTATACAACTGCACAGGTTTATTTGATAGTCTGGTCCTAGCCTCGTCACTACTTCGCCGAGGTTAGGCTAGACACTTACCAGCACATGGGGTCGGTTGTGTTGATACTACACTTTGCACTCTTTTGTGCAGACCCCGGTGTTGTGGACTTTGGACCACAGTGAGATTGCTGATTCTTGATCATCAGGCGACCCGAGGTAGTCCTGCAGGCGTCCGTAGGCCTTAGCGTCTCCTTCTATCTACTATTCCTGTTTCTTTCATACATTTCTAGAGACAGTGTTGTATTTATTTTTATCAGACCCTTTATTTGTAGTATTCTTAGACCGTCTGTGAAACTGTGACACCAGTTCTGGGTAGTCGAGACTCAAACAGTTGTATTGGATTCATGTTCAGCTAGCTTATTGCTTTTCATCCGCTTATGTTAAATTCCTCTGTTTAAATGATATTACATCGAAATTGTTAATGAATATAAAATGGGTAAAATGGTAAGTTGTTCACATAATTGGCTTGCCTCGCTCACATTAGTAGGCGCCATCACGACTCACGAGGGTGGGAAATTCGGGTCGTGACAGAGCCAAAGAAAAACAAAAAAACGAAAAAAAAAGCAAGAAAGTATAGGAAAGAAAAGAGAGGAAAATGGGAATGAGAGGAGAAGCATCAAAGATCCAAAGAGGAAAGAAAAGAAAATTGGGGAAATAAGCGAAAGCCGGGATGAAACACGCAACTGTTGCAAAACATGTAGAAACACATTTAACTGTATAGGTGCATCACACCCCAATGTGCGATTCCCTATGTGTTAATTGTCTCGCACTAACCGGTTTGTTGTGTTTGTGTTTAGTCAGGCTCTATAGTAAGGTGGTTGGTTTTGTGGTACTCTGGCTTCACATCCTTACTTCACAAGGTCAAAGGGAAGCGTTGAAATGTCATCTGAGGGTCATCTACCAACGGTTCCTATCCCCGAGGATAGCCCGATCTCGGCCATCCCAACTTCAGAATCGGCCGCTGCTGAGGAAAACAGAATTCTACATCTCTGCATGATGGAAATGTGGGACGCCTGGTCCAATGGTATGGAACCACCGAGTGCGATACCCGGATTCCCTGAGTTAGTTCCCAAGGCAAGTGGGACTTCCAACGTCCACATAAGTTATCCAAATACCCCATTAGGATATCCTACCATCTCAGCCCACTTTTCTGGAACACCTTCTGAGGCTCGCCCCCAGGTGTTAATATCAGGTACGGCCTCAAATATACTCACTGCACCACCTTGTTCAGCTACGGCACAAGCCACTCTACCCAGCCCTAACTTTGATCCGTCATCCTTCTCCTTTCAAGTGCCATCTTTCCCACTGGAACTTACCCAGTTTACTACCAATGCTTACCCTCAGCCGCCCCGATACGAGTTTATCGTGGGGCAGGAAAAACGCACAAAAAACCCCGAACAAGAGGAGATTACCAGAAAGATGAGGAGCATGAAGCAGAGTCTAAAAAATATACAGGGTTTGAGCGGGCAAAAGAGCATATCCTACGCTGACTTGTGTATGTTCCCACACGTGCATCTACCCTTGGGTTTCAAAACCCCGAAGTTTGAAAAGTATGACGGGCATGGGGATGCCATAGCCCACCTCAGGAGATACTGCAACCAGTTGCGGGGAGCAGGTGGAAAAGAGGAGCTCCTCATGGCTTATGTTGGAGAGAGTCTGGTTGGCATTGCTTCTGAATGGTACATAGATTAGGATATATCTCGTTGGCATATCTGGGATGACCTGGCTCGGGATTTTGTCAGGCAATTTCAGTATAACATTGACATATCCCCTGACAGGAATTCATTGTCAAATCAAAAGAAAAAGTCTTCGAAAAGCTTCCGAGAGTATGCTGTCAAATGGCGCGAACAAGCGGCCAGAGTCAAGCCTCCAATGGACGAAACGGAGATGGTTAGTGTTTTTCTTCAAGACCAAGAGGCTGATTATTATCAGAATATGATGTCTACAATGGGGAAACCGCTTGCCGAGGCCATCAAAATTGGTGAAATGGTCGAGAATGGTTTAAAAACAGGGCGAATATTGAGTCAATCCGCTATAAGGGCTATCTCCCAAGCAATTCAAGGCGGGTCTGGAGGTGTAGCAAACCGATAAAAGAAGGAAGAAGCGGCAATGGCAACTTCAAGTGTAAGAAAACCCCGTCCACCCAGACCTTACTTCCCTTCAAGAACCCCACAACACTACTATCCCCATCAGGATGTGGCCTATGATATGGTTCCTCAACCATACGCAGTGCTGAATGCCCAGCCATACGTTAGGCCACAACAACAGTTCAACCAAACCGAGCTCCATTTTCCAGAAATCAACGTCCTCGCCAAGCTCAATAGAATCCTCGACCACCACAAAATAACTTTCCCTACAATGCCTGTGCCTGGGAACCACCCGGGACGGCAAACTTCACGCCCATTGGTGAGTCATATTCTAGTCTTTTCCCGAAACTTGTCCAGATGGGTCTGTTGCAACTCGTACCCCAAACCAGGCAGAACCCAACATCGCCCGCCTACAGAGCCGGTACTAGATGCGCCTACCATTCGGGAGCGGAAGGGCATGACACAGATGACTGTTGGACCCTGAAAAGGGCCGTAGAAAACCTTATAGAACAAAAGCGGATAGTGCTAAAGGACGAAGACATTCCTAATGTGACCAACAATCCATTACCGGCTCACAACAACGGGCCTGTTATTGGAATGATTTGTAAAGATAAAGAATTAGACCCAGCTCTAAAAGCCATCATTGCCATAGCCGATGTGGAAAGGAAGCCAAAGGCTGCCGTAAAACAAGACAAGGGGGAGAAGAAGAATAAACCCACACCTCAAAAAACAGAAAAGAAAGCAGAAACCGAAACTGGGGCAACGCCCTCAAAAGATGTCGTTCTCTATGTTCCCCGAGGCCACAAGAAGGAACAAAAGACATTGAGCCCGCCAAGAAGGTTTGAGCTGAACAAGGGACCCAAAAAGTATGTGCCTAAGGGGACCTATGGGGTGCGGGGGCCAGTAATTTCACCAAGGCTGAATGAGCCCGTGGTTATTGGCCACACACCGCAAAGGCCCATGATAGACCCTACTGCCGTCCCATGGAATTGCAACAAGGCGGTAGTAACTTATAAGGGAAAAGAGGTCTCAGGAGAAACAAATGAAGTTAAACCAGCTGAGAAATACTTTAATGTGGAGGAAGTGAATAGTGCCACGAAGAAGCGTTTTCCACTCAAGAAGCCAGTTAGTGCTGAAGAAGTAGAAGAGTTCTTCCGAAAAATGAAAACGGCGGACTACGAGATAATTGACCAACTCCGCAAGTCCCCTGCTCAGGTCTCTTTGTTGTCTCTGTTAATGAATTCAACTGAGCATTAGAAGGTGTTGATCAAAACCCTCAACGAAGCGTATGTTCCCATTGAAACCACTGTGGAGCAGCTGGAAAGGATGGCGGAAAGATTTTTTGCTGTAGATCAAATTTCTTTCAGCAAGAATGATCTGCCCCCGGAGGGGGCCGCCCACAACAAAGTCCTTTACCTGACAGTTATATGCGAGGGATATTATGTGAAAACGGTCATGCTGGATGGTGGTTCCGGAGTAGATATTTGCCCTCTCTCAACTCTGCAAAGAATGGAGATCGGTACTGAGAGAATCAAGCCCAACAACGTCTGTGTGCATGCCTTTGATGGCATCAAGAGAGATACCATTGGTGAAATTGATTTGATTCTGACAATTGGTCCGGTGGATTTCGAGGTGACCTTTCAGGTCCTGGATATGGATACTTCCTATAATTTCCTCTTGGGAAGACCTTGGATTCACGCAGCAGGGACTGTACCTTCCACTCTCAACCAGATGGTGAAATTAGAACATGAAGATCAGGAGATTGTAGTTCACGGAGAAGATGAGCAGTCGATTTACCGGGACCCGTCAGTCCCATGTCTCGAAGCTAGGGAAGGAAGTGAACATATAGTCTATCAAGTTTTCGAGGTTGTGGTCGCAGACCAATGTGAAGAAGGAAACCCTTGTCCTCAACCCTTTCTCTCAAATGTGTCAATTATGGTTGCAAAGGAAATGATCAGGCATGGTTATAAACCCGGGAAGGGGCTTGGGACATCATTGCAAGGAATCACCGAACCTGTCACTCTTGCTGCTAGCGAGAAGTTGTTTGGGGTAGTTTTCCAACCCACGCCAGCTGATGAAAAATGGGCAGATAAACGAAAGAACAATGGTTGGGTCTTGCCTCAGCCGATTCCGCATCTTTATAGAACATTTGTAAGGCCCAAGTACAATGAGGAAGAGGAAGATGAGGCCTTCACGGCCGAGGAAATTGAAGAAATCTGTGGGGCTATGAGGCAGATGTTGTATGAAACCCACATGGTTCAGCCGGGAGAAGGCTCAAGCACCGCTGAGGTGCTATACATGGGACCCAATGCCAAGCTGTAAAATTGGAAGGCTACTCCGTTCCCAATCAGGCGGGAATCCTGGTAGTCCAGTCCTGCCACTTTTTCTGCGTCACGAGTTATTTCAGGGTGTAACTCGGATGTTTTCTTTCGTTTCCTGTCTTTAAATTCCAATGTAAATGCTGTTATCTTCAAAATTCGATGAAATGAAATCAATATTTCATTGTTCATCTCTCTTTATTCGTTCTGATTTTTGTTACTTTTTCTTATTGCTTCTTTCAGTTCTAATAATGCGGCTTTAAATAACATGACATGCTTGCGGACTTCATGCCCAGATCCAAACACGCTGTCTAATTGTGAAATAATGAACCAAGAACCGGAATATGATGAAAAAGAGGCTTTTAGGGAAATAAATCGAGAATTGGAACAATTTGAGAATAAACCTAAGTCGAACTTAAATGCTACCGAGCCGGTTAATTTGGGTAGTTCTGAAGAAGTTAAAGAAACCAAGATAAGCATTCACACAAATGAAAAAACCCGAGATGCATTGATCCAACTTTTGTTTGAATTCAAAGATGTTTTTGCGTGGTCATACGATGACATGCCAGGACTAAGTGTCGATTTGGTGGTTCACAAGTTGGCAACCTACCCCGATTATCCCCCTGTCCAGCAAAAGCAAAGAAAGTTCAACACTGATATCAGTGACAAGATTAAAGAAGAGGTCACAAAACAGTTTAAAGCGGGGGTGATCCGAGTGGTTCAATATACCACATGGTTAGCCAATGTAGTTCCAGTGCCAAAGAAAGACGGGAAAACTCGAGTGTGTGTGGACTACAGAGATCTGAACAAAGCAAGTCCCAAGGATAATTTCCCTTTGCCAAACATCCACATCCTTGTTGATAACATCCACATCCTTGTTGATAACTGTGCCAAACATTAGATACAATCTTTCGTGGATTGTTATGCAGGATATCACCAGGTATTGATGGATGAAGAGGATGCGGAAAAGACAGCTTTCACCACACCCTGGGCACCTACTGTTGCAGGGTCATTCCTTTTGGTCTGAAGAACACCGGGGCAACTTATATGAGGGCCATGACAGCCATTTTTCACGACATGATGCACCAAGAAATTGAGGTGTATGTGGACGATGTGATCATCAAATCCAGAACACAGGACGACCATGTTCAGGACCTGAGAAAGTTCTTTGAGCGGCTGCGCAAGTATAATTTGAAGCTAAATCCGGCGAAATGTGCATTTGGGGTTCCGTCTGGCAAACTTTTGGGACTTATATTCAGTCGGAGGGGCATCGAGTTAGACCCAACAAAGATAAAGTCTATTCGAGATTTGCCTCCTCCACGAACCAAGAAAGAGGTTATGAGCCTGCTGGGAAGGTTGAACTACATTAGCCGATTCATTGCTCAATTGACTTCCACGTGTGAGCCCATTTTCAAGTTGTTAAAGAAAGATGCAGTGATTAAATGGACAGATGAGTGTCAAGAAGCCTTTGACAAAATCAAAGAATATCTGTCAAACCCGCCAGTCTTGGTCCCACCTGAACCTGGGAGGCCTTTGTTCTTGTATCTGACAGTCTTGGAAAACTCTTTCGGCGGTGTCCTCGGGCAACATGATGTGACCGGAAAGAGAGAGCAGGCAATCTACTATCTGAGCAAGAAGTTTACCGGTTATTAAGCCAAATACACTTTGTTGGAAAAAACTTGTTGCGCTCTAACTTGGGTCGCTCAGAAGCTTAGGCATTACCTTTTGGCCTATACCACTTACCTCATTACCAAGCTTGACCCTCTGAAGTACATAATCCAGAAGCCGATGCCCACAGGGAGGCTAGCAAAATGGCAGATCCTGCTCACTGAATTTGACATAGTCTATGTCACCCGCACGGCAATGAAAGCCCAGGCTTTAGCAGATCACCTGGCTGAAAACCCTGTTGATGATGAGTACCAGCCCTTAAGCACCTACTTCCCGAACGAAGAGGAAAATTCAGTTGAGATAACACCAGAAGACACCAATGCTTGGAAAATGTTCTTTGATGGAGTTGTGAACGCAAAAGGCGTTGGAATTGGGGCAATCTTGATCTCACCCACTGGTCAGCATTATCCAGCCACAGCCCGGCTTCGATTTTTCTGCACAAACAACACCGCTGAGTATGAAGCCTGCATATGGGTATGAACATGGCAATCGACCAAGATGTCGAAGAATTGTTGATCATGGGAGATTCGGATCTGATTATCAGACAAGCTTAGGGAGAATGGGAAACTCGAGATGTCAAGCTTATTCCATACAGGCAACATGTGGAAGATCTTAGCGGGCGGTTCAAGTCCGTAGAGTTCAGGTACATTCCTCGTTTTCATAATGAGTTAGCCGATGCGCTCGCTACTTTGGCCTCGATGCTGCCATACCCAGGCAATGCCCACATTGACCCGTTAGAAATCCAAATCCGAGAAAGGCACGGTTACTGCAATACGGTTGAGGCAGAACCAAATATTCAGCCATGGTATCATGATATGAAGAGATTCCTGAAAACTAAAGAATATCCCGAGCAAGCCAATGGAGATCAAAAGAGGACCATTAGACGGCTCGCAAGTGGTTTCTTCTTGAGCGGTGATGTCTTGTACAAAAGGAATTCGGATCTCAACTTGTTAAGATGTGTTGACGCAGGAGTGCGCGGAACCCACATGAACGGGTACGTTTTGGCAAAGAAAATCCTCCGAGCAGGCTATTACTGGATGACTATGGAAAAAGACTGCTTCAGTTTCGTCCGGAAATATCATCAGTGTCAGGTGCATGGTGATTTGATTCATGCACCACCTACAGAACTGCATCCCATGTTAGCACCTTGGCTATTTGTTGCCTGGGGCATGGACGTCATTGGGCCGATCGAGCCAAAAGCTTCAAATGGGCATAGATTCATATTGGTCGCTATTGACTACTTCACGAAGTACGTTGAAGCAATTACTCTCAAATCTGTCACCAAGAAAGTTGTGGTAGACTTTGTGCATTCTAATCTCATTTGCCATTTTGGTATTCCTACAACTATCATTACAGATAATGCTGCAAACTTGAATAGCCACTTGATGAGGGAGGTATGTGAGCAGTTCAAGATCATGCATCGAAATTCTACTCCTTATCGGCCCAAAGCCAATGGCGCTGTCGAAGCAGCAAACAAAAACATCAAGAAGATTCTGAGAAAGATGATCCAAAGTTCCAGGCAATGGCATGAAAAGTTGCCATTCACATCGTTGGGACATCGCACTACTGTGCGCACATCAGTCGGAGCAACCCCGTATCTTTTGGTTTATGGCACTGAAGCCGTAATACCCGCAGAAGTTGAAATACCTTCTCTTCGTATCATTGTTGAAGCTGAAATTGAAAATAGTGAGTGGGTCAAAACCCGTCTGGAACAGTTAACCCTGATCGATGAAATGCGAATGGCCGCAGTCTGCCACGGGCAGTTGTATCAACAAAGAATGGCTCGTGCCTACAACAAGAAAGTGCGGCCTAGAAACTTTGAAGTGGGGAAACTCGTTTTAAGGCGTATTCTCCCCCATCACCAGGAAGCAAAAGGAAAGATTGCTCCTAACTGGAAAGGACCATACATTATCAGAAAATTGTTGCCAAAAGGAGTGTTATACCTGGGAGACATCGAAGGGAATGACCCCGAAACAGCTGTAAATGCAGACGCAGTCAAAAGGTACTATGTCTAATCCTTCTGCAGCAACAACATTATCCAATTGGGATGACGAAGGCTTTCATTCTCGCTACCCCAAACACTCCAATCCTTTGCTAACCCTTTGAGTCGATTACCTTTCTTTCATTACCCTCTTTGGAACTTGAAGACGTTTGTAAAAAAAAAAAGCATCAAAACAAAAGAAAAAGAAAAAGAAAAAGAAAAACAACAAAACAACGAAAACAAAATGTTTCCCTGAACTACGTTCGACTTAATTCCAAAAGGATACGTAGGCAGCCTCTCTCTGGGGTTCAGTCACACCAAAACAAAAATCAAATTTCCCCCCAAAAGTGAAACTGGGGCAGATATTATAATGGCTCGGCGATGATCCCGCCTGAACGGTTCGAAAGTTGTAATACGGTCCAAATTCTTTTTACCCAATCCTTGTTCAAGTCCTTTCGATCAATCGGTGAAAGGTGTTCGAAATCGGAGAACGCAGTTGTTTGGATCCGATGCAATCAAGATTAGAGAAATAAAATGAGAGAGTCTTATCGGTGAAAACCCACTGGCACCATAAGTCGATGTTGAGCAGAGAAACTGAAAATGAGAGAGTCTTGTTAGTGAAAACTCGTAAAGATCACTATAAGCCGACGGTGAGAAGAGAAACGAGAGAGGTCGATTGGCGAAAACCCGCAAAGGGCGCCGTTGATCGAAAAGAGGAAACCCCTCACCACCGTTGGCACTGAAAGAGTCCTGGCAAGGTTTCTCGGTTTTTAAAACACGGATCGTAATGGGTTTATGAGAAGTTGGATAGTTGTGCAGATCAGGTGTCCAATCCAAGAAGCATGTCATGTCTATTGAAGTCTGCATGCACTTCAGATAAGTCCTTATTTCCTCCCCGAAAGGGACACTTCTCCTTAAATTCGCTTTCTTATCTTTTGTTTACTTTTCTTTGAATCCCTTTCGGTCTAACTCTGTTCCGGAGCTAATACAAAGATAAGGTGGCAAGATTGGTTTTACAAGGTTCTGCTTAATAAAAGCCAAGTCCAAAAAAAAAGGTACCCAGCCTCAGCGGGTGCATCAAGTCGATCCCGACTGGCCATGATAGCCGATGCTCTGAAATCAAAGTTATTGAAAATAAAAAGAAATCCAAAGTCAAAAGCCCCTAGAGGCAGAATAAGGTGAAAAGACCAAAGCCCCACACGGGTGAACCGTCATCTGGAAAGTTTGAAAAGTTGAGTTCCTCGATTTTAGGAAAGAGACCAATCTTCAGAAAAGCCAGCAAGCAGCAGAGGTTCTCACCAAAAGAGTTGGGCCGAGATCAAGTGATCAAAAACAATCAAGGCCACAAAACCAACCACCTTTTAAAACTAACAATTGTTACTTTGTTTGAAAATTTGA